GTATCCGTGTCGCCGTGTCCGTGTTTGTGCATTATAGGTCAGAAGTAAGGATAAAGCTGCATCAGGCCATAGAAAAGATCCAGCATGGAAACGTAGCACTAAGGTGGATGTAGGGGGAAGTGAAAAAATATATATCTATATAAAATGTAATTATTGTGATAAAGTTGTGAATGGTGTGAATAGGATGAAGGATGATCTTTTAGAGTCTCACAAGAATATTGCACCATGCTCCAAAGTTGATACAGTAAGGGAGGAGATAAAGTCATACATGAATAAGTCTACCACGTCAAAACGTCTTGCACAAAAGCAATTTAAAAACAGAGTTGATGTTGGCTTTTACTACGGGAGTGAGCGCAGCGTTAGGAATTCATCTTCTTCGATGAAGCCCATTTCATCTAGGGGTGTAAGAGAGCTTATAGATCATTCTATAGTGGACACATTAGAGGATAGGCCTCTTACTACACAAAAGATGGCCCAGAAAATGCGAGGCACGAAGAAGAGTGTGTAAGGATATAGGCAGATTCTTATACGAAAATAAAATTCCATTTAATGTTGTAACATCACCTGCCTATTACAACATGCAGCTGGTCATTACCTAAAGCCTCAGTATTGATATAAATAAAATTAGGATTATATCATTGCATGGATCGGCTAATAAATGATGCAACTGAAAGATCAAATGCTGACATACAATTGATACCTTTTAGGAACAAAGAAGCCTTTTTTGGATTACAAAAAGCAAATGATACAATTGCCAAACAATCTCCAGATAATTTTCTTTAATGTTTTAAACATTTATTTAAAGTTATTTTTTTCGCACTAATTAAACTCTCTTATATAAATATTAGTTGAGTGGTAGATTCAATTTAGCGATAAGACTCCAGAATTGCAGCATTTTGCAGTGAAAGTTTTGGGCTTGACATGCTCTTTATCTGACTGTGAAAGAAATTGGAGTACCTATAACCAAATACATACAAAGAGGAGAAATCTCTTGTCCACATTGAGGATGAATTCATTGGTGTACATTATGTACAATAGGAAACTCAGAGATAGGAATTTGAAGAAAAAAGAATTAATGGATGATGATAATCCTTTGTTTTGTGAGGATGTGGCATCTGATGATGAGTGGTTTGTAGATGATGAAGTTGAAGTGATGCTGTTTGAATTACAATATGAATATTTAAATGTTGATTTCTTTGATGGTCTTAAAGCATCTACATCCACCACAACTCAAGAATAAATTAAAAAATGTATATAAATAATATAGTTTTCTTAGATTTTTATTAGTGTATTACACTATTATTTATTTTGAGATTGTTCAAAAATATTTAGGGAAGAGGAAGATAACTAATATTGATGAGGAAGGACCTGATTGGGAGACATCGGACTCTATAGGAGAGGAGAAAGGGGAGAGAGCAGTTCAGCATAATGATGATTCAAATGAATGCCCCCTTAGTACTGACAGTGATGATGACTTATGATTTCTTATGTGATATGTCATTGCCATTTATTTTTGGAATTATATGTTAATGAAAAGAATAATATGATTTGGGAAAGATGGTGTTTGAGTAGAAATATATTTCATGTTGTCTTATTATTGGGATATTTTGATTTCACTTCATATCTTGTGCATTTTTATGTTTTATATATTATTTACTCATTAGTATATACAAAATTTATCATTTTATGTTTACGCAATTTTTTGATTTTGAGGCTTACGCCTCAAAACGCCTTGAGGCTTACGCCTCGCCTCACTAACGAAAAATGCCTCAATACCCGATTACGCAATTTTAAACATTGCACTCCATAAACCCTCATCTTCTAGGGATTTCCTCCAACTTATGTTGTTGGAATATAAGCCTCAATATTTATATATATATATATATATATATAAGCATCAATATTCTAAATTAAGATGATCACCTTAAACAAAAATTTGATGCTAAAATATAAAATCCAATATAGAATAGTTTAAGCACTTCTGAGCTTCCTCAAAATTAAGTGCTTCTACTTCATTTCATTGGCTCTCATTGCAAAAATATGATTAAAGTTAACCCCTTCATCCTTCAAATTCCTAAATACAAAAATAAATAAGAATGTCATGAATTTTAAAATGAAAATATTAGTCAATATTTTGATGACTCTTAGAGAAAAGAAAACCATTAGTTTATATATATATATGAGATGGCATGCCTTTATAGTACAATTTAAGATATGGCTCCCATGACAAGTGTATTTCAAGATAAGATATGTAAATGATATCTTCTGCTCCTATTTTTACAACTACATCTTTTTATATTTAATAAAAAAAGAAATAATATTAAATTATTTACAAAAACTAGCATGCATATCATTTTCTAACTTTTGAATTACTATAATTAAGAAATACAATTAGCCACCAAGTTGTTTAACACATTCTTAATAACTAATTATCGGGAAACCCCCATTAGCCTATAATGGATGAAAGACAAAATTGTGTGTACAGCCAAAAGATAGTTTGGAGTCTTAAGTAATGTAAAAATTTAATCGTAAAAGCTGTGTTAATATTTTTTTAAAACATGTGTTCAAGAGGAAAGAACTAAAATGCTGTATTGTATGAAATGCTTATAAATAAAAAAAATTTGATGGCATAGTTGGCTCTTTTCAATTGAAAGAGCTCATGCTATAGTGATGCAGAAATGTTTAAATTTTCATCCAACCATGCGTTCCCGCCTCAGTATTCTGAGCTCCCAGCCTGATTCATGACATGATAAGCAAGAAAAAAAATCATGTTGCAATAAGAATTTTAGTTTGCTCCGGGACAAGAAATGAGTCCAGATTAGGCAACCACTCCCTAAACAATCAACACTGACATTCCAACAAGACAGCAATGTCCAACCTTTGTTTATTGAGATCGTGACAATATTTTAGATACCTAAATTTTAATCCGGGTGCAAAGAATTTTGTTCAATTGAGACTGCATGATTGCCACTTTCCATCTTCATGTGATAGAAAATGTAGCTAAATTTTGAGTATGTTAAAAGTTCCTTGTGGTTAAAACAATCCAAAAATGGGGAATATTGGAAAAGACAGACTTCAAAAGAACAGAAATCTAGGTTGGACTAAGGCCACTAGCTCGCAATCCAAGCATTAATACAGTTCTACTTGGGTGGCATCTCCTAAGTAAGGTCGGAGGAAGTGTTGTAGCCTTGAGAAAATTAAAAAAAAAAATACAATGGATCTTAATTTATAATCAAACCTATATTCAGAGTGATTCAAAACATGACTCTAATGCCAATTTAATGTGCAAAACATTAAAAAGAAAATAGAAAGAACAATAAAGATGGAAAAATGATAATATCAAGGAATAAAAACCATATAAACTAACATCATGTTTGAACAAAGATATTTCCATTCCCAATAATACTTCTTAAGTTAGTGGGATGCAGAAAGGAGATGCAAAATGCACTTAGTTTTGCCCTTGCATGTGTCAATAGCAAATCCAGATAAAGCAAGCAACGGCAAGGTCAATGGCATCCTTGGATAATTCAAATAGAAGCGTTTCCAAGTAATTTTGGTACAAATTATGGCACTCTTCTTGCTGTCATCTCCAACACCAGCTCATATGTCATACGGCTACAAACATTGCCATCATTATCACTGAATGAGGGAAGTTCAACACAGCTATCGCAGAAATCAGCTGACCACAAATAAAAAATCAACAAGCATCACCCAATCTTCAGATGATAGATGATAATACAATAGTTATCTTCATATGTGGCATGTCAAACACAAGTATTGTGGTGCTGAAATGGTCACGGCCAAGACCACATGTGTAGTCAAGCCTTTAAATGCTTGCAGGTGACACCATCATTGTCGTCGTATCCAACTAATTCCATATTCCTTACAGCTACTGTGGTGGAAAGATGGCCATTAATAGGAAAGCAACAAGGAACATCTAATCTACAGATGATTGTAGGCAACATGATCGTAGTCATCACATGCAATACTGCAAACACATCTATTGCAGAACTATAATGGTCATGGAAGGGAGCGTGATGAGCACCATTTGGTCATCAGATGGAGGCAAGGGACCCAATCGTAGTTATCATATTTGATATATTTCATAAGATTATTAAAGTGTAATTATGATCGATGGGAATGCCACAAGCATCATTCGATCTTCACATATGAGCATACCAGAGTAAGGACTCGAAGAATTTAAAAGATAAATCTCTAGTTTGCACATGTATATGGCAATCAGCTGAAAGACATAAAAAAAGTGGAAAGTCAGATTCTGATGCTTGACGTTATATAGTGACAGTTGTGTGGAATCTTGGCAATACGAAGTAATAAAATGGTTATTATTTAGTGTCTCAAACTGGCCATCAAAATATACCACATCGTAGGAGATGATGTAACAAGTATATTGATGATGATGGATTAGACTTCTGATGATATAATTGGAAATAACATCTCTAAAAAGATTTGCTGACTTTTAAATAGGCAAATGTCCCAATGGAAACAGGAGCATTTTGGAGGTTTTCAAGCTATTCTATGTTTTTTTAGTCGTCAATTCATCAAAATGGAGTTGAATCTTGTGCATGTTCTATCGTTCTTAATTGCCTCAAGATGCATGAATTGTGTTGAAAGTTTGCATGATTAGATACAAATTTCTTACAAGCCTAACGAGCACAAATGTGAGATAGCACTCAAAAGAAAGAACAGAGGAGCATTCATAAAGGCATATGAAAATAGTTAATATTGGGACAATTGGGATGATAATGAGGATAAATTTATGATCATGTGCGATTTAGTATGGACACATAAGTTGAGTAAAAGACAAATTCCATCATGCATATTTTTTAAAAAAATGAAACAAAAGTTTTGAGAATAATAACTAAGAAATGTTGATAAGAAGATAAAACCAACAATAAAAATTGAAAATAATGAATGGAGTAAATATTTCCAATCAGCATACATAGAATCATCTTAAATAGTTAAATGTTCTTTGTTCTTACCATTAACTTATACTGGGAAAGAACATCATACTCCCATTTCCTCTTTGGCCTTTTCACTGCAATTTCTCTTGGTAAAAACCTTTCCAGCAGAGAAGTCCACATACTACAAATAGTCAATGCATTAGAGAAAGCAATTGCATGGTTCAAACGAATCATAAATCTAATAAGTTGCAATGCTGCATGTCTAGTATCAAATAGAAATTGTTAGTGGGCACTCACACACATGAATCAGGATTGTCAATAAATCCGATCTCGGCTAAAATTTGCAGAGCGGTTAGCTGAGCAGCATTATTCCTTCCAGATGGATAATTTCCCAAAATATAGTCATGTTGTATCTGCAGTAGTTATAAGAAAAGAAATACAATATAAGAACACTGAAATAATAAAATTAAATATTTGAAAAAAGTATATAGGAAGACATCAAAGAGAACCTGAGCAACATACTTGGATGTATGACAAATGCAAAAACATTGGGTCGGATACACCATCATCTGATTCCTTAAATAGTCTTCGCTTGAATACAAGTTTAATGTACAAAACCTCTTCTTTACTGCGGTCCATGGCTGACTTAAATTCCGCCAACAAATCTCCAACATATTTTTTGTCATCTAACCTGATAAATTCCTCTGCGTATCATGGCAAACCTTCGTAAGAGCAATTGACAGAAATAAATAAAACCATATTGTAGGCAGCAAAACAACAGAATCAAGTGGAATCAATTTGGTGCTGAGGGTGGGGAATTCGCAGAAGTAACAGTTCTGAGATAATACCATTAAAAAATTCTTTCGAATTTGGGCCTGGTACAACTTTTCTGCATTCAAACAGACTGAAACTGGAAAAAGTTGAAAGGTTGATTAAGCTTGCAAGCTCCTGAAGAAAACTTTTCATGAGGAACATTTCCATAGATGGAAGGAGGAAACGGATTGAACAATACACTAAGAACAATAAAATGTAAAAGCCTTAATCACCAAAATAAAATCAAGAAAAAACTTGGTGAACCAAAAGAAAAACAAAGGTGTAGCCTCCAGTTTTAACTTCAGCAATACCCATTATAACTAATCTCAGCAGGATCAATATCTTAAACCAATTCTGATTATTAAATGTCAGAGTTGGCATACTATATCATCAAACCAATTGATATGATATAAATGCAAAAACTCAAAACGCATGCAAAACCTTGCAATGCAGATATTGAAGCATAAAATCCAGTAAAATATCACTCCAACCAATCTTAAAATTGAGAAAACACTGCTATATCTCCAAATAAAAAAGAAGGCCCAATTAAATTATAAGGAACGCAAAAATAAGACGGCAATTCCAAAACATGCATTCTACACGTGAAACTCCTCAAAACATCAAAGCAAATTTTATTTGAGTAGATAAACCTCCCCAAAATATTAAGATTTACATTTCATAACAGAATATGGATAAACTTTTTAGAGATATAATATACATTATATTTGTGAACCTCTCCAAAACATTGAAGGCCAATGAATTTCACAACAGGCTTAGTAAGAATGAATAATGGCCATTAGAAGCAGATAAAAAAATTCAGTGTAATTATATTAGAGGAACAATTAGAAGGATATCAAAGATAATTGAAAATAAGCTAACGTGATTTGGATATGCACAATGAAAGGTAGAAAAAGAGCCTAATAAATGAGAAGTGTACATTCGTATATGTTAATGTAGGTCTTTCATAGGCATCTAATAGGTTTGGATACATGAAATCGGACCTAATAAGTTCTAGCAACAAGAGTGTAACAGCCCAAACTCTTAACTATTAAAATATTATCCACTTTTGGCCTAACGGCCTCACAGTTTTTTCTTGTTGGTGCAACTTACCAGAAAGTCACCCATCCCAGGATTTCTCCAGGATGAGCACGCTTAACTGCAAAATTTTCTTAAAGAAATGCTAAGCATTATACCAAAAGGTGCATCGATGTTTAAGAGTTTAGTTTCTTTTACTTAAGGGTTTCACAATCTCTCCCACTTAAGTAACTGACGCCCTCGTTAGTATCTTTATTCTAGAATCATCCACCAGGCAAATATGATGATTCTAGAGGTGACCCCTACAAGTTCCAATGGTGACTCCCGTCATATAGCACTTTGTCCCATACAGGATTCAAGAGGAGACTCCCATAGCGTAGCACTTTATCTTACATGGCACTTAGTTCCTATCTTCCAACTGGTGTATTACTCTGATACCATTTATAATAACTCAAACTCTTAACTATCTAGATATTATCCGTTTTGGCCTAAAGGCCTCACGCCTTTTGTCCTGTTGGTGTAACTTCCTAGGATGTCACTCATCCAAGGATTTTCCTGGGATGAGCACGCTTAACAATGGAGTTTCTTAAAGAATTATAACCATTATACTAAAAGGTGCCTCGATATTTAAGAGTTTAGCTTCTTTTACTTAAGGGATTTCATAAAAATCTTGGCCAAAGCAGTCACCGTGTACTCCACGGGCACTTGCTAGCTAAGGAGAAGTGACTCGCCCCTTTGGTCATGTAAAATAGTCATCCCCAGTAGGAGCTACAAAGGACTTGAATAGATCCAACCATGCTCTTAAACTCTTCTCCTCAGGAAAGTTCAACTTTGCAAAGCTATTGGCCCTCGCTCAAATTGATAAGTCGCCGCTAACACGCCACTATGGCTATAGGGAATAAGTATCTCAAGAGGTGAAAAACCTAATCCTCTAGACTAACCCCACTCTCACCTCACGAATATCATGACCCAAAGGAACTAGCCCGTCGCACTTAACGGCCTCAAAACTCCACCTAAAGACTTAACACTACTCCCAAAGGACTCATCACACCAACTCCCCAGCACGCCCACAAGACTCGAGATACCAACTCTCCTACAAAGATGCCTAAAGAGCTAACCTCGAAACCAAGTACCAGGCAAAAACCAAGTACCAGGCAAAAAATCCCTAACAGGTCATGGCACGTGTCATATATAGTCTATAATAGGCAGAATTAATGATGCGCTTTTTATCTTTTTGTCTTTTCTATAACCCTCAGATCCCTATAAATAATGTGGATATTCATATTTTGAACCTTTTTTAGAGCACTATTGATCTAATAAAGTGTTCTTAAGATATTGGTTTTCTTCACTGCCTCTCAAATCTCCTATATCTTCTCATTTCTTTTTCAATTCTCACCCTACGTTCTTAGGGCTATTGTCTCAGAGGGTGTTGGGCTGGTTGGTAAGATCAGGTATCATCCAAAGGCACATTTCAATCCAACAAGATATAATTAGTTTCGAAGGATCAAGAAAGAGAATAGGTAGACCTAAAATAATTGACTAAAGTTATTCAGTGGATTTGTGAGGAATAGGCTTAACGCCTCAGACAACAAACAAGAAAACAAGAATGAAAATAAGGATTCATAAAGCTGGACCTAAATAATTGAGATAAGACTAATGATGATGAATATGCAATGTCTAAGTTATGAATTTATCCAAAAATTAAACTGACAAATTTACATTTTTAAACCAAATTATGGATCGAAATTTCAAGGATTTCAATACTTGTTGGTTATGAAATCAATTAACTTCCTTCTGAATCTTTTAATAGTCTAAAGGTATTTCTTCTTTCAAAATCTAGCAAAACAATATCATAATAGTAAAATGGCGAAGTTAGACTTATATATACAAATAGTTATTTGATTATGCAAAAAGGGATTGTGTTGAAAGAAAGGAAAGATCGTTCTATAATTGGCATGAAGTTTCCAATATTTTGTTGTTTATTACCTAAATGTATAGAAACACCTTTTTATCCAAATAAAACTATGCGGAGAGATTGTTCATTATTAACTAATACACTTCCTTGTTGACATCCATACGTGTTTTATGACAAATTCGAGCAAGCACAACACGAATGAAGATCAATTAATGTGACGCCATGTAAAATGAGACCAAAACACGCCAATCACAGCATAAATCACTCAAATGTCTCTCGCTCAAAAAACTGACAATGCTAATGCATTCAAAACATCAAAATTACTTGGAAAGGACACTCATATTGTCTGAATTGACGTAAGAAAAATAAACACAAATTAGCCCACACTAGAATAATGATACGCCTAGAGACTAAAAGCAGCAACGAACAATGGAAAATTACATAAATACTAAAAATAATGGCTGATTTTGGATTATAACTTCAAATTGAAAGCAAGATACAAGTAACCTACAATTCGAGAGATAAATCAATTCTCCCAAACAACCTAGACGACGCTAGAAATCCCTCAAAGAAAAAAAAAGCTACCACACACACAAATCAAAATCTGCATAAAACAAATAAACCTTAAACTTAGCCTTAAATAAGTTCTCCTCCTTGCCTCCTAAATCAACCCCCCCTTCCTAATGTATTTCCCTCTTTTATTTGAAAATCAATTAGGAAATCATTTTCTAATATATTTCTCGATTCAATTAGGAAATCCTTTTCTAATATATTTCCCTATTCTATTTGAAATTCAATAAAAAAAACCTTACCTAATAGATCCTCTTCTAACATAATGAATTAATTCTTTGTTGGGCCCCACCAAATTAGCCAAAATCCTCTCCCTGGATTATGCCCCTCCTTCATGGGCCCCTCCTTGCTACGTTGTATCAGACAATTACAAGTAATTTGATATGTGCAAGACAAGATGCATGAACATGGATCTATCTATTATTATTGTTGGTGGGGTGATGGTGGTGGTGGTGTTATTAAAAAAGAATTTTTAAAAATCAAGTTTAGTCAAACCGTTAGCTAACTATATCTCCACTCAAATCCTACTCCAATGGCGCCATTTTTGCAAGACATCAATCTCTTCACGTGTCAAAATGAGATGAGAAAGAAAAAAACCTAAAAATTGAAACACTCATTCCCTTACTCCCGCAGCCCACAAGCTGAGCACTCCTCTCTCCCATGCACCCCTCTCTCCCATTAATTGTTCACCTTCATGAAATCTCCTCTCACACACATCATCCCTACTACCCTTTTACTCTTTTGCCCACCCAGACTGAGCCCCATCACTAAGTTGTAGTCTCCCTCACATCATTCCTCACCTCCATGCCTACGCCTCCCTCACCTTGCACTCCGCTCCTAGACCCACCAACCCATGCCACTCCTCACCACCTTGAAGACAAGCCAACAAACTCCTCCACAACTCGACGCAAATCCTAAACCATATAAGTCAATAAAAAAGGATAGTGTGAAACACATGTTAGATTTCTACCCTCCACCACTAGATCCACAATATATGCACACAAGTAGATAAAAGGCGTAATTTAAAATATTAAAATAAAATTTTGCACACATCTTAATAATAAACAACTGCACAAATAATCCAAGATTCTTGATATTTTTAAATCCTACACACATCCAAATTTAATTATCAAATTTTAACATAATACATCAAGAAACATGTTGCCACATCGAGAAGTATGTAGCAGCCTCAAAAAACATGCAACCACCACAAGAAGCACGTCGCTGACTCAAGAAGCACACAACCATCTCAAGAGGCATGTCGCTGCCTTAGGAAGCATGCATCCTCCTCGAAAAGCATGCAACTGACACAAGAAGCATGAAATCTCCCAAAAGCATGCAATAGTTCTGAGGGTAGTGTCATCGTTTAATTAAATCTGGGTCCTTACTTCCCATAAGCACAAGCATTCATAGTTAATTACCCCACTTAACGTATAAAAGAAAACTCTCAATTTAAGGATGAATAAATTTTAGTTGTTTTAGTCTCAATTGTGGGGAAAATGGATGTAAACCAGAGCAAGATCCAATGGTTTCATCATCTCAGGTATATCGTAGATTTCAGTCTACCAATACTAACAATCGTTAATCATAGTACCCAGGAATTTTGATTAGCAGC